GTACGTACGCAAGTTTACGGGAGCGCATCTATGCCCNCGTACGCGCTGTAAACGGTGGAGCTGAGCTTGCGGTGCGTGGGACGGGGGCCGGGGGTGGGAGCGTGGTGTGGACAGAATTAAAAAGCGGTTTCAGCTAATGCATTGTGTTTAACTGTAGCTTAACTAAGGTGGGTTAAAAAATCACTTTTAACCACAGAAAGATATTAAGTGCCTGGCCTTGCGGACTATTAAAATAAGGTTAAAGAAGCTATTCCATCCATCTCTGTTATCCTAAAGGGTTTCACCAAAAAACTCCAGAAATAAGAAAAATAATTATCCCATCTTAGCAAAGGTGTCTGGATATGATAACCACAAATGTGCCATTTCTCGCATGCTTCAGTTTGTTTTACCCGTCCCTGAAATAATTTATTGTTGCAAAGTCCTTGAGCGCATTTCCTGTTTCCTCAGCAGGGAACAATGACGAGTCAAGAAAATGACTTCTCAGCCAACCGGCTCTTCTTTCCCTGCCTAAATCCCAGCCAGTCCTCACACGAGAGCGTGGACTCTGGTTGCTGTGACGCTGAAGGCTCACTCAACACCTGTTCCAAGGTCTTCAACACCTTCAGTCTCATCAACACACCATCACAGCAGCAGCAACAAGCCCCCTTTCCATCTCACTCCACACCGCCTAAACGTCCACCTCTGACCAAGCCACGATCCTCTATGAAGAAGGACGAGACCACAACGCCGACGGCGAAGGCAGCAGAAACGGCCCAGACGGGAGGTGGAGCCTCCTACAAGTATTTGACGTGGCGTGAAAAGGATCGACGTCGGCGCTTCCGTGAAGAATGGAAACATCTCTGGTTGGTCGTGCCTCATGGCATGTACGAGGTGAGTTTTGGCCACTGCATCCTTGCCTACATCTTACCTCTTCCTTTCCTCGATACCGTGAGATTTGAGTCACTCTACGAAATTGTGGGGACAGATGTTTTTGTTGTGGTGGTTGTGGTTGTTGTCACCATATGGAGGAGAGAAGGTGAGAGGGGTCGTGGTAACCTAAATGCTGGGATAAACCTCGAAAGCTTCTTAGATGTCCCAGAGATTTTCTGCTTTTTTGTGGGGTCAATGGTTTTGCACAGAATTATCCCACGGCTCCAGTGAAACAAGACTTTCACTGTTTTACTTCTTTACCATTTTTATTGGAGATTATTTCTTACTTTACCAGAACTCTCGCCCTCCTAACTCGCATTACCAGCGTCACAATTATCCTCTATCAGTTTATGGGAGATAACTGATCACACCAAGTCACTTATCTCAAACAGTTTTTGAATGATAGTTAAATTGGGCGATTTGGTAAAATAGATGTTGCTGGGATAGTAGACCATTGGAGATCCTAGTAGCGAACGTTTTGACCCCGATCGAGTATGACCGGTGGAACGATGTAGGAAGGCTAGTTTTAATGCAGGACCGCGGATTACGTCATTGCGTCTCATACCATTTCACTTAAAGGTCCTGCTAAACGATGGAAGCAGAAGGCCTACATCTGAACGAAATTCTACAATACGCATTTAATCTGCACTTCTATCTTTGGCAGTCTTCATTTAGCAATGATTGCCTTCATTTCCACGGTTTAATCTTCACCACTTGCCAAAGAATAGAACCTTAACCCATTGCCGAAAACATTTATAGCAGGTCTTTTTATTTTAGACAGCCCGTGCAATTAATCGCCGCGGCATTTCCATTTTCCCTCAAATTGGTTAACGAGTTAGCGTGGGTGGCACTGATGGTGACCTTACTTGACCACATTAAAGCGACCGACCTTCCACAAAAAGCCATAATAACGCCACCCGGACCCAAGACATCCCAACAGCTGACGACGACGAAAATTTGGGGCTTTTTTAACGCGGTCATCGTGGTGGTGGCAAAAAGTGGTAACGATTCTGAAGAATTAGATTTGTGGCATATTCACAGTACAGACAAACACGATTATTTGCGGTTGCGTCCCCAAATGTGCAGGATACGGAAAATCCCGATGGAAAAAAGCGCCTCTAAACAGCTGACGATGGGCTTTAGAGGCGCCAACTTGTCTGTAAGGCGGTCTGGGAAGGTGGAAGGGAGGTAGTGGGATTCTACAAGGGCGCCATTGAAGGGTGTGAAGAACAGTTGTCTTCTGCCAGGCGCGCAGGCGCCAATAGAGATATATTTAATATTCCACGTTTAGGTGACACTGCTGCAGTAGTTACTTACCCCTCTTCTTCCCGCCCATGATTCATTTCACACCACATCTATGGTTGTGGATGTGTACATTGCACATGTGGGCAGTTGCACATCTTCCTTGTATACTGGCTGAATCAATTTCTTCATGTACACATTAATCCCTTTTAGTTCTTGGCTTTATAGAAGAGCAGAAATGGGAGAGAATTTAATCATTTTTATAAATTGCGCTTTAGGTGATGTGTCTTGTGTGCCACAAGATCATGACCCAGCGAAAACTTGACACAATCAAGCGTCACACAATTCGTCGGCACGCTGAACTCCTCTCCATGTCAGAGACGGAGCGTCAGCGTCTCTACCATGACCTCGTCACACAGTACTTTCGTCGTGGGGGCGACTTCTGTGGTGAAAGTGACCCTTTCTGCTCCACCAGTGTACCAAGACTGCGACAAACGGGTACTCGAGGGAGTCGAATGGAAGTTGCGGGAGTTCGCAGGCACTCACGCTTGACCGATGTTCCTTCGCCTTTTCGGGCACGCATGAGTGCGCCACGGAGATCAGAAATTGATACGCATCCTCTCGCTTCTTCTCCACCCTCCGTACAGACGGTGAGCCAGATCAAACCGGCTCCAGCTATGCCAATGAATTTAAAAACAATTGAAAACATCCTCTTTAATGGGCCTCATTCAATCTTCACTAAATGTCTCATGGGATTTAATCCAGTAGAGGTGGGAACTTTTCCCAAAATCCACACATTTATTTCAGTCGAAATATGAGACGACGAGTTATACTTTGCCATTTTAGTTCCCCCTGAGAGGAAAATTTGATTCTTCAGTGGGTTCTCTATGGCGAAGGAATCCTCTTCCACACACTTGTGGAATGAGCACGCCTCACGCCTTTCAGTCCTTCAAGAAAACGCCTTCATTGTCATCGTCCACCTCCCCACAGAGAAGTGTCCCAGACGTTTATACAGATTCCATTAGTTGTAGAGCCCCATTAGACATGTCTACATCTGCTGTACCTTCAATGCAAGCATCTCCGAGTGATTTGTCAATAAGGAGGTGCGCTTCCACAACTACTGATGCTGGAACGTCGCTAACGGAGAGACTGATGCGACTTGTGAACACATGGGACACAGCTGCGGTTTGTTCGAAGAGTATGTCGCTGCTTCCCCCTCCACCACCACCGCCACCGCTGCCACCGCCATTGCTACCTACCCAGTCGGACACGGCTGCGCTTCTGCTCAATCGTTAGGCGTGCTTATGTCGCCTTCTGTGTGATTTACAATTCTCTGAGCACACAAGCACGTCTTTCACTCCCTCTTTACCCTTCATACACAGCGTTATGACGACTGCAAATAGTACATACCCCGTTGTACATAGGTTTCATTGAGACGCATCAATTTACTTATTTGCAGTGTATAAATGCTGTCTAGCAAACACGATGCATTCTCTTGTTTCATATGGGGAAGTAGGGTACTATATTCAATTATTAAATTCCACCCCTACCATTGCCTTCACTGCCACCGAATGAATTGCCTGACCGAATAGTACGCAGATCAACAGTTCATAATAAGTAGTGCCTCCTCTCAGAAGTGCCTTGATTAAATGAATTAGTTTTAGCATTTGAGGTAAAACTTCCGCCTTTAGGAGAACGCTGTTGCAGTTTATGCAGTTCATTTTATTAGTCATCTTAATTCCCAATTCCGAAAGCTTCACTAGGACAAAAGGTGGCTTTTTTCTCCCAAATTCATGATGTCCCACCATTTTGGGGTAATTATCATGTTCCTGAATTAAACTCATCTCATGGGAAACAAAAAATATTCATCGTATTTGTGACCCCTTGCATCTCCTACAAGGGCTTTTGTGTCACGTATGCGTGACACATGAGTCACAAGGGAAAAGCGCCATACTGGATGAGTAAAACGGGATGGAGCAAATGGCATCACAGAGGAACGAAAACATCTCAACTGTAGTAAACGATTTTTCTCTGCTACTCTGACTGTTAGCAAATGCGCTGGAGCAATACAGAAGCTCTCGGTTTCAACAACACGTTGGATGGGAGCCCCTACACATCCCCCAAAAAACGTGGAAAGATGCTTGTTTTGTGCTCATGAGACGTCATTTTAAATCTTGTTAACAGCACAAATATACTTCCAAAATGCACGTTCATACCTTCTGAATGTGTGTGCTTTCGTGTTTTAAGGAGATCAGTTTCATCAGCCACTACCAACAACCAGTAATTATTTGAGAAGATTGCATCACGGGCTGTCAATACGACTGCACGAGAGCGCATATATACAAACAGTAATGACGGATGCGAATTCGAGCAACTAATCGAGGCGTACGAGGTGTGCGTGTGTAGTAAACACTTGGAATAACTGCAATTCACCGAACCTCCTGTCAGATCACTGACGCCGCTAGACCAAATTTCAAGAATTAATCGCAGCCTGTGCAGACGGAGCAGACTTTGAGTGTTTTTTTTTTACAGGACTTACGAGACAGATTTTTTTCTCATTCATTTTGGCTTGGAAGGATCCGCAGCATTGTGAGGCTTCCATTTTAAGAGATTTCTTTAAATTTTACTTAACCTAGGCTTTGTGCAGCAGGGAATGATAACAAATTTTCTTCTGTAATGCGTTTAAGACAAAAAAAATAGTTCAAACAATTTTAATTAATCAAGTGGACTGTCGGTTACTAGATGTCGGTATCATTGCGAGAGCATTCCATTCAAAATGCTAATTTTTTGAGGGAATACCTACCTTCGGAACTGAGTATACAAACTCATGCCTCCAGTTAAAGAAGGTTTTAGCCTAACTCATCTAAACGTACTGCATTATGGTGTCTGGATCATTTCTGAAGACGTCCAAAGGTGGACGAGACTGATTGTTGCCTCATTTTAATCTCAGAAAAGAGCTTAAGAATTAATAGCACTTAACACAATTCCCATGCAGTGCAGTCTTTCCTACATAAAGGAGATAGAGACTGAAAAGGAAAGGCATTGACGGCATGGTAAAGCAATTATCCTAGACCAATACGAGGTATTTGTAAACCAACTGAATTTGGGCTAGCAGTCTCGGGAATAGGTGAATTTCATACAAACGGAAGCCCGGTTTACGCTGCTGAGGAGGAGGAGAAGGAGCGGGTAAAACAGTGCACCAAGTGTTCATCTTTACGGGCCTGTCACGCATACACACACACAGTGAAAGGTTACATTAACTGCCCATTAACCGCAAAGCCCAGCCTTGCCAAGCCAGTCCAGCCACCACCACATGTAGCGATGTTGTCCCGCCTAACGGGGAGTGGAGGGTGGGGCAGGGAGGAGAGGAGCCGGATAGCCCCTAGCCTACTATACATAAGGCGTAGAGAGGAGGGGGGACCGTGGTGGATTGTGGTTACGGGATGAGCAACTTGTGCTAATGACAACCTGCTTAATGGCTTGGCCGAACTGCATGTGCTGCCCGGGGGCCTGCTTGCGGCGGCGAGCAAGTGAGAAAAAGGGCACCACTCCCTGCTGGTTGAGTTTGCGAATGGAAGTACTTCCCATTTCTCTTAGCCTTGCGTGCGTGTACCCTTTTCATAAATTACTAAATAGCGTCACAGCCAAGTTACTGTTTTAAAGAATGAAAAGCCATATGCTTGTAGTATTAAGGTTATCTCACAGACTGTCTAAAATCGAGCCATACGGAAGGAGCCAACTAAAAGCGTTCATATGGTCGCATCTTGTAGCCGCATTCGCATACTGTGACTGAAAGGAGACCGAGAAGGTGGCTGACTTGTTTCAATAGTGGTGCGAGATTTGAGGTAGGTAGCCATTACATCAACACACCTAACTGGAAAGGCACACGTAGACGAATGAATGAGGGCAGACTGAAAGAAATGTGCAGGATCATATGTGGTCAACCAGAGGACCAAGCCAGATGTATAGTGATGTAAAGATACTACGAAACAAGTTTCTAGACAATTTGGATCTTTCCCGTACTCTTTAAAGGCAGATTGTGTACGTAGCTAAGCCTTCTAAAAGCTATGAGTTTGTTAAATAAGTTCAACTGTCAAAACCCCTATCACTATTCCAATTCCAAATCCATTTCACTCCACAACTATTCTTTAGTTGAGGTAATAAACATCTTGACGTGGCGCATGCCCGGACTAAAGGATAACTTGGTCTATTAGATTGGAACCAATGCTAGACTTTAGGTAGGGGTTCAACACAGTAAAATGTTAAATTTGGAAGGCACACACTAGTTACTGTATGGGCAAAAGTGACCTAATTTGCCGCCCGACTTTCCCCTTTGCCTTCTCCTCCCCCAGCTAAGGGCTCCTCTCTCGCTCGCACGCACGTACGTGTCACCCGGTAACAGGGCGGGAGAAAGTTTTGGCGACAACGAGGCACACACACACACACACACACATAATGCAACAACTGTGGGGTTGCCCCAATGTGCCTGTGTCCCAGTTGCCGATCCAGTCTAAGCCACTCGATGACCGCTTTGGTACAGCTCTCATAGCAGCATCGCATCTATGGCACAGGCGGGATTCCTGTAAATGCAATTAGAACTGTCATGTTCGCAACATCAGTCTTAGTCACAAAAGTTTTGACAAAGCATTGGAGATGACTGTGCTTTTAGGCTCAAAAAGCAGACATTTAATTAGTGGTATTGTAATGCTTTGATTATGCGTTTAATACTTAGGGCTCCACTTTTGTACCTCTGCTGTACGGCATGACCTTTGAGCCATGCGAGTAGCCTTCACCCCCAGCACTTCCGTCTTTTCGCAATACATTTTCTGCCGCGGTTTATGCCTTCTTTCGTCTTCAGGGAAGTCTTGGGGCGCCACAGCATAGTTCCAGGGCGTTCAAATCAGACCGAGGTATGGCACTGTGACGGGACTATGCGCAGGAAGTTCATCCCCATTATCGATGGTTGGTGCACGTTTTGTCGGCCAGTCAAGGCACTGTAAGACCACAATAATTCATCCACCCAAATGCGGAAACTTGTAACCACATCAAATTCAGCAATAAGGAAGAGCTAGCTGGCTGGCCTTTTTCACTGTTCTGTCACCCTCATTGGTTGTCAAAATGGATACAGTGTAGCCGCAGATTGTGGCGTGGCTAAACTGGTATCTTGACAGTTGTATTAATATACATGTGGAGACGGCTATTGTTCACACCGCGTTGCAGGTTATTGAGGGCATTGAAACGGTACACTGTGCCTCGGGGCGTATACTGTTGATTAGGCATTAGGCCGTGGCTAAGTTTGTTGACATTTCCAGCACCTTTTAAGTAGGGAAAGTGAAATATTCTGTCCTATAGCCTAAGAAATAAAAATATATGTTGAATAATTTGCTTCTTACTTATTACAATAATAAAGAAACCGAAAAAGCACAAATTTGAACCTAGACTTCAAGACTCTGAGGTAATAAAATGCTGGCAAACGGAGCGCGATTTTACGGGGCGAATTTCAATTCACATTCAGCTGTGTGAAGACTACAAATGGGTGTGTTAATAAAAGAAGTTTTTACTTTCACTTTTTGTTTTGAAATAACATTGGTTGTGCAAAATACTTTTTGAGCGACTAATAAGTTTGTGCAGTATTCTAGTCGACATTCCATAAGCCTATGGGGCTATCAAATGCATGCATTTGTTCATAAGCCAGAGTTGTTATGGGATAGTAAGTGTACGTCAATCAATCGGTGTGATACTCTCTATCTGTTGGCCTCTCTACCTCTTTCATCTTTCATCGCATTTTGTCCTGTCAGTTAAACCTGGTTAATGTGATTTCAGCTTGACTGCTTTGCCAATTGGGTTCAATGAGGTTCACCTCCCCTTCAAAGATAAAACAGAAGCTTCTTTCCCAATTCTATAAATGAATGATAAGTGCTTACAAAAAGTGAAATGAAGGCGAGATGTGGTGATCAGCTACAGCGATACGTACCACCATCCCACAAATTGCTGAAACAATCGGCTTGATTCCGCTGATTAACCACTCCAGTAGTACAATTATGCTGATCCGTTATGCTCATCAAACGGAAGCCTTCTTTTTATTCTCTTTCTTATACTTATACTTTTCTTCTGCATAGTAGAGAGCCACTTGTCGCTGTTGACATGTCAAAAAACATTGTGACCATAATTGCAGGTAAAAATACCAAGAGCAAATTGCAGTCATGCTGAGGTTCTGCAGTGGTGAGGCCAACCACTCGCACTCGCTTCAACCGATGGTAATGGTAACTGGTAGTGATGGAGACCGCCGCCCAAAT